TAGAACATTAACAGATCTCAGAACTGAAGAGGAGATTGGCCTGAACTTAACCATTAACTGCAGGTCAGGAGCTGAAATGAAGGTTCTTTTTAACCTCCCTCCTCAGCTCCACCAACCTGCACATTCCCAACACAAGCATTTCATTTTTCCTGCTCCCTGCTCAGGTTTCCCGCCCGAAGAAAAAGAAATGCTTTGCTAAAACCCTTCACAACTTAATTACTGTGGACTCAAAGGCTTTGCAGGGGCACTTTGAGGGATTAATCCTCTCGTTCTGGCCATCAATCAAAGCCCCTCTGGAGGTGCTGCAGTTCAGCTCTGCTCCGACACACACATCCACAGGCACTGCCCAGTTCTCCTCCCAGAGGGGTAATTTTGGCTGGGATGAGCTGAGGGAATCAGGGCTGGCATTGCCACTTTTTCTGGGCTCGGAGAACTCATCTTGTAGATTTTAGGACTGAATTCCTGTTTATGGGTTAAAAGATGTGAGAATTGCACAACCTGGTCAATTTGAAAAGACTTTCAGTGAACAGCAGGTTCCTACTGAAAGCCAGTGAAGTTCCCCACTGTCTGCAGGTTTGAGATGAACTGATGCAGCAGCAAAATGAACCAAGGAATTGGGAGTAAAAACCAGATTAAAACCAGATTAAAACCACAACAAAGGGCTTTGGTGCTGAGCAAGCAGAGGACAGGACACCCTGAGGTCGTCCCTCATCTCCTCCACAGGTCACCAGGACATCTCCAAAGGGACCTGGGAGTCTCCTGGACGGATCCTGCAGGACCCACCACCCCCAGAGCCAAGAGCCTGGTCACACTCACGTCCTCGTCCTGGCTGGAATGGATCAGCTCCACGAGTCTCTGGATAATCTTCGCTTCATTGAGCCACTGGAGGGAAAGAAAATCCTGGTTTGACTTCCCAGAACTCGGAACAAGAGGAGCTTTGAGAAGCTTTTCAGGGTTTTCAGGAAGGGGAAGCCCTTCCTCCTCTCTCCTAATCCCAGCCACGGGCAGGATCCAAATTCCCCGAGCACAGACAGGGATGGATTCTGATTTCCACCCTGCCATGGAACTAAACCCTAAATAACTCTGGGAAACATGGAATGGACCAGGGGCAAACAGTGTCTGCTCTGGGCAGCATTACCACACTGATCAACACGTTCTTCTCCCCCCAGTTCCTCCTCTTCCTGCTGTTCCCACTCGGTAATTCCTGACCCTTCCAGATGCCACAACGCTGTTTTTGTACCTCAATCTTGCCCTCAGTGCAAACCATCCCTTATCTCCCCTTCCCAGCCCAGGGAAACCAGGAATGTAACCTCAAAACACTCCCTTCCTCTTCTCCTTCCCCAGCCTCCCCTACAAGCTCATCCTCATCCCCACCCAACTGTTCCAGGCCAACTGCTGGATGTGGCATCCCTCAGAATAACCAACCTAACCCATTCCCAGCTGCTTTTGGAATAACTCACCTAACACTAAGCAAAAGGAAAAAGACTTTGGAGGTTTCTGCAATGACAGAATCTTAGGATAATGGAATCATGGAATCACAGGATGGTTTGATTGGGAATGGACTGTAATGCTCATGGAATCATGGTTGGGTTGGGCTGGGAGGGACCTCAAAGCTCATCCAGTGTCACCCCCCATCCACACCTTCCACCAGCCCAGGTTGCTCCAAGCCCTGTCCAACCTGGCCTTGGACACTTCCAAGGATCCAGGGGCAGCCACAGCTTCTCTGGGCAGCCTGTGCCAGGGCCTGCCTGCTCTCAGAATCAGCGACCCACAGGACTCTGGTTCCCCCCAGAGCCCCATTCCTGGCTGCAGAGCCTCAGCAGGGCAGGTCCAAGCCCCATCCCCAGCCCCCCAGCCCCAGCAGGGTAGTCCCAGCCCCAGCCCCAGCCCCTCAGCCCCAGCAGGGCAGTTCCAGCCCCAGTGGCACAGCCCAGAAGGGCAGCCCCAGCCCCAGCCCCAGCCCCCAGCCCCAGCAGGGCAGTCCCAGCCCCATCCCCAGCCCCAGCTCATCCCCAGCCCCAGGAGGGCAGCCCCATCCCAGGCTCACGTTGAGCACGTCGTGCCGCAGCGCCGCGGGCTCCACGCAGCTGATGAGCCGCAGCAGCAGGTCCATCATGGCTGATGTGTCGATGTGCTTTAGCACCAGGCTGATGAATTTGTCCTTTTTCCTTAGAAAGGCAATCACCTGGAAGGGAAGGAGCCCCCATCAGCTGCCAGCACCACACACAACTCCCTGGGCTTCCCCTCCTCGCCCCAACCCCGATCCCAGTGGCGACGAGGTCGGGAACTCTCCAGAGAACGGGACAGTAACGTTCTTATCTCATGGCAGGACTAAATAAAATCCTTTTAGCCATCTTTTGTCTCCCCTGCACCACAAGGAAGCCCAAGGACACAGAGATAAGAGCATCAAGTGGAGCTGGAGAATTGTCCTTTTCTCGCAGTCTATGACAGCCTCCATTTTACAATCCAGTATTTAACTGGGACGTGCACGTTCCTAAATCCCTGCTCAGCCCACGCTTCCAGCATCCCTTTTACAGGGATGAGACTGAGGTTCTGATGACCCAAGGGTGCCTCAATATGGCTTAGTATGAAAAATAAACCTTCAGCTGTGGCATGGGAGTACCCCGACTGCGGCAGATCCGGCCCCAAAACTCTGGGAAGGTGTCTGCCTAGGCCAGCACCTCCCTCAAGCGAGGAATTCCAAGAACTTTTGGGAGCCCACATTGCAACTCCAACCTCTGAGACCATCCCGAGCTCCCGGGGCAGCCCAGCCACCGCCAGGAGATCACCTGTGCCCCGGCAGGACAGAGCCCAGCACTACCTGCTCTGTTTTCCGGGCAATGAGGTTCCCGATAGTCTTACTGAAGAAACTGGCAAGCAAAGGGTTCAGGGGGGGCTCGTGATCCAGGAAGTCGTAGAGGATGTTGAGCAGAGTCTCGTCCCCGCCGAGCTTGTCGTTGATCTGGGGCACGTCCGAGGTGAGCAGCTCGCAGGCCGTGTTGGGGTACCTGCAACACAGAGCGCACACGCTGCAGCTCCAGTGGAACTCCCCGGGAAACCTGCCCTGGGTGCAGTTCTTATGAAGATGTTTCTCCCTGTGAGCGTGGGCAGGCCCTGGCACAGTTGCCCAGAGAAGCTGTGGCTGCCCCTGGATCCCTGGAAGTGTCCAAGACCAGGCTGGACAGGGCTTGGAGCAGGTCTAGTGGAAGGTGTCCCTGCCCATGGCAGGGGTGGGGCTGGAGGAGTTTTAAGGTCCCTTCCCACCCAAACCATTCCATGACTGATTCCTCTTGTGAGGAATAACCCTTTTACCTTCAAAGGGTTAGTTGTTTCTAGACAAACCAGGTTTCTACATCAGGATCTTTTTCAATCTTTGCAACCCAAGCTCTTCACCCACCATGAGCCACTAAAACATTCCCAGGCCAGCTGGAAGCTTTGCCCCCTTTCCCAGCACCATTCACTTCCCAACCAGGCTCCTTGTATTTATGTAATTCCAGTTCTAGGAGTTCCAAAACCACCCTAAGCCCCTGGTGATGCTGTTTCTGTGCTCTTTGCTGCTCAGAGGCCGTTCAAGCTCAGGGCATTATGGTTACCATACACAGGGATCTTACAGCATCACATTTCTCAGAGCCCCCAAGGGGACATGGAGACTCATTTCTCCTTTTTCTGGCTCATTGCTCCATGCAAAAGGCATCCACCATTCCTAAAAATCCGTGTGTGGTGCTTCTCTGTGCACAGGGGAGAAATGAAACCTCTCCTTGTTCCAGCACGTTCTGTTCCTGCAGCCTTCACACCCCAGGTCCTGATCCATCACCTCACCCTTCCCATGCAGGCACCTCATCCCAGTGCTGCTGCTTTCCAGGCTGCAGGGAACTCACCTCACCTGACACTCACCCTCTGTCCCCCAAAGCACCCTCTGACACCCCTGGGAGTTGTGCTCTCCCCACCCCGTGCTCTCAGTAGGTTTTGGGGACACCCACAACGTCACCAATTCATTCCAAACAGCCACGACAGCTCCAAGAGTTCACCCTCTCCTTTCTTGCTCCAGGTCTCCCTCCAGGTGCCCAATTCCACACATTCTGCTTGGATGGGGCTTTACTGGGGAGTTTTCCTCCTTGCAGTTCCCTTCTGAACCTCAGGAACTTCCATCCCAGCCTCCCAAGAAGGAAGGATGTGATGACTCCCTCTCCCCAGCTCACACTATTCGGAGCCGCACGTCCTTCCAGACCCATCGAGTTTCTCCCCATTCCACCTCACAAATGTTCACAACCTTTTCTGAAGAGCCAAAACTGGGATTCCATCTGGATTTAGACAGAGTCCATTCTTACTGCTTGGCCTTAATTTATTCCAAAAGCTTCCCAGCTTCTAACAAGCTCAAACCCTCTCTCCTCTCTCCTGTGCCTCCCCGGGCTCTGGAAACGCTTCCGTGCCTCGTGTGCCCCAGAGACTGAGGTGCTTCCAAGAGCTGCTCCATCCAGGTCAGCCACAGTGACCCAGAGGAATTTGCTCCTTGAAACCTCTGTCTCTGTCCCCACCTTCCCTGTTTCATTACAATCATGGAATCATGGAATGGGTTGGGTGGGAAGGGACCTCAAAGCCCATCCAGTGCCACCCCTGCCATGGGCAGGGACACCTTCCACCAGCCCAGGTTGCTCCAAGCCCTGTCCAACCTGGCCTTGGACACTTCCAGGGATCCAGGGGCAGCCACAGCTGCTCTGGGCAACCTGGGCCAGGGCCTCCCCACCCTCCCAGCCAG